TTGCACCACCAAAGCCGAGCATTGAGAATCTTCTGAAATGCCAAGAAAATTATACTATACTGCATCATCAAACACTGTCAATAAGCAGACACAGATAATTACAGTATTGCCGTTGCACCTCAGATATGCCTGCAGAACCGAGCTACAAAGGGGAAATTGCGCTGAAAATTCCACACTTGTGACCAGATGACTTCCTGTGTGATTCCTCTCCAGTCCATTGCACTACCTCCCTATCGCTCCTTACCCCTCTCTCTTCCACCCTACCCTCCATGATGCTCTGTTCATGTCAGTCTCAGCTGCCGCAGCAACACTGATGTTTAAGCATTCTAGGGGAGTGCAGACACACTCCAAAACTTCTTAATGGGCAGGCTAAAAATAGCTCAGGCTGGATCTGACTGGGCTGATTCATGCGGCTGTGAGTCATTCAACTGTGCCGCGGTGTGAGGAGAGCAAGGGAATGGAGTGAATGAGCACTAAAAGAAAAGAAATAAAACTTTGCACGCTTGTTAAGATATAAAACCGCTGAAAAATGTGCCCTTGCTTATCCCATCAATGAGAAAAATGTGCATTTTATCCCCTGTGAGCGCGTGTGCCTCTAATTCCTTAAGGACACTTGACACTGCAGGGCAGCAAAAAAGAAAATTAAGGCTAATATAATAGAAAATGAGGCTGATCAAAAACAACTCTCTGTTTCATTTACCATTAGGGACAACTTGTCTTTTTGGTTATTGCATGTTGATTTCTCGTTTGGGGATAGCAGGATGGTGGGTGGGGTCTTTAGGCTGGTGGGTTGTAGGAGCCCAACAGATGGTAGCCAACAGATTAACAGTACCACTGCTAAAAATGAGTGGCGTGGTAATTTGTTAGCATCATTAGAAAGGGAAAAGCAGTTCATACTCATATCATTATTCCCTCCATTAACACGGGTAAACATCTACTATTAACCCCCTGATACAGGCCAGCAGCATCTGTGTGTGTATGTGGGAGGGGGAGTTGCTTACTGCTTACTGAAATGATTCAAGGCTCTCAGCAGCGCTGGAAAACAAAGTCCTTTCCTTTTCCAAGTTTTGTTTTTTAACCCGAAAAATAACAACACACTGACACAGTACAACCCACTGACAAACAGACACACGAGACTACTGGGGCCCCGTAGATCAATCCAATCAATATTTTGGTCTTCCTATTGCTTTTGTTTCCCTCTTTGACTTCTACACTCAGCCTTTGTCTCACTTCCCTCTCTCTGTCCCCTTGAGCACTGGTTGAAGATGAACTGCTGGCTGCAGGTAGCTCCTTCCATGCTGAGAGCAGAGAGCCATGTGGTGACAGATAACAGCCAGAGAGTCGGTGATGGCTTAAACTGTCACATGGTCATTCACACTTTCTCCCTCTGTTTTCACATCCTCCACCCCAGACTTAAACTACTCCTTTTTTTCCATTCAACATCATTTTTTCTTTTCCCTCCATCTGCACTGCTCTTTCAAACCTCTCAGAAGAAACAGAGAAGTGATGGGGGCTTTTTTTCGAGTTTAGACCTCACGACTCATGGCACAGTGGAGCAGAGAGAAAGGGAGCGTGTATAATGGTATTTGGGTTACTTAATTGTAGACAGGGCTGTCTTTCCTGCTTCACTAGGCCGAGACATATTGCCCTTACTGTCAGTGATGCCTGAGTGGCTGCCTTCAGATAAACAACCCACTGTGGGTGTTGTAGTGTGTCCCAGTGTGTGTTACTATGTCATCTTGTGTTGTCTTGCTGTTGTACTGCACATGAATCTAGGGATGAGGATGAGATTAGTTTTGAAATGCTTCAGTAGATTCAGAAATTGTATGTTAATCACTGATATATCAAATGCCTGTCTTGTACTTCATAATTTATTTTCATTTATATAATTATAGGCAAATATAATTATTAGCATCTGGTTAAATAAAAGAAAAAGAACTATTTACTGGTGGGGAAGGTAGACATCACTTCAAATCTCTAAAAAGGGCTTCTAGGTACTGAGTTTTTTAGGATTTATGAGTGAGTGGGACTGAGATTCAGATCCCCCCCCTCCTCCCTCTTTTCCTCCTCTCTGAAAGACACGCTCTGCCATCTCCACTTTGCTGTCTTTTAGAGTATGCTCCACCATCCGTCTCCCTTGCTATCTGGCCCTTTCTTTCCCACCTTCCCCTATCTTTTTCTCACAATGCATTTAAATGGAGTATTTAGAGATTCCGCCCTTTCTCATCACTCCACACCTACTCTGAGGTAACCTCAATCCCTCAACAACCCCTTTAAAAAAAGAAAATTCCCCAGCTGCTCCAGAAATAGGCCCCAGGAGACGCACGACTAACACACAAGGAAGGGGATGATATTCACAACCAAAAATGCCCTTGCCTTATTTCCACTCTATGAACCTGCTGCAGCCTTTTATGCCAAGGTAAACGTTTTCACCCAGTGACCAGATGGTTTCCATGATATTTGTTTATGATGCTGCACAAAAATTTGAATCCAGCAACCCCACTGCACATGTTGTTCCCCCTGGGACTGCACTAAACGAAATGTGCCAGCTGCTAATTAAACGACAGTCTAAATGGAGATGCGTTCACATTAATCTGAAGTACTCTGAGTTGTTTGAAAAGTTTACAATGTTGTCTTTAAATGCTGCAACATGGATGTGAAGGTCAATTATGAAGCACACAAAATGGCATGCCAAAAAATATAGAAGTTTTACACCATTTTATTACCTACTGCAGGGCAGGAGCTGCTTTACTGTTAGGTGGTCTTTTTTATTTATTGTTCCTGTATCATTTCCGTGTGTTACAGCCAAACAGCAATGCATTCCATTACCATACTACTGCAATACATTTTACTGGTAGACTATTTTTCAGCTTTTAAAAACTTGCTTGTATTCCTCAAGACCAATGAGTTTATGTAAAGGTCAATAAATAATGATAAGAAAGGATTCTTAAAAACAAAGCGATCCAGTCGTCAGCAGATTACTTGAGAGAACTGCAGGTTAACAGTGTCTGACATCTGTGAGACAGACTAGACTTTCAGCAAACAGAAAGCAGACTAAACCTTCCCAACACTGACAATCTGATGTCGAGAATAGCCACCTCAGTATCAATTAAGACATTTATAAACTAGTACAAAAATGGGCAGCCAAACAAATGAAACAATACAAACACCAGCTAAATGCTGACTATTAATCTGTTGTGTGCATTTTGGGGTAATTGGAGTGAAAGTGATTTCTTTCTAGAATTATCCCTTTGTGGCTGTGAGCCTCTATGAAACAATCGATTTACTGTTTAAATCTACTTCTCTGCAGACTTCACCTTTGACCTTTTGGATATAGAAGATCTTTACGTTATCATCCTCCCCCACTAGACATTTGAGTGAAATTTCATCATGGTTAGCAAAACACGTTTTGTGAGCTCAGTGTGATCCTGGCCTATATGACTGATGTACCAACTGACAGTCTGAAAACATGAATCCTTCAGCCACAACAAGTGTCACTACAGAGACTAAAAGATGTTTGGCTACACGTGTTTGAATTATTCACCTCCATAAAACTCCCATACAAAACCAATTTTCAAAGTTTTGGTTAATTATTTAACAAAACTAATAGATAAGCATGAAATACTACTTAAACTCTAATTTACTAAACTAGGTCTGTCACCACTAATGCTTATGTATGTTTTTGTTCATGTGGGCTTTCCACAAATGATAACACATCATTCACATACAGCTCTATTACACAATGCTTTTACACTTTTTAAGACTGAAAATTAAAAGCAAACCTTTTATAAAAAGAAGGAAAATATACAGGAAGTATTTTCCATTAACTTGTAGTCGAATGCTAAATTTCATGAGAATTTTCCTCTGATCCAAACCCTGACTACATGTTCTAATGCAGGCTAAACCATTCAGGCTTTGCAGTACACCTGCATTTAATTATGCACTAATCAAGTGCCCCTAAAAGCTTGAAAATCTTTGGTGGATAACTCAACAGTCAAATGTCAACTAATGAAAAGGGAAGGTTAGATTTAAGTACTCTGTTGCCAGTATACTGTCTCCGGCATCGGCATAACCGTCTTTCCAGGCAGCCTAGACATTTTCAAGAGATTTACCTCAGCTGCTACTGTAAGAATATTTTATTGATGATACAGTTTTACTGTCAAAGCAGCTGTAAATATTTGCAACAGTTGGGAATCTGGAACAAATAAACTTTTTACTATTTGTTATTACTTATTTATTTGCAAATTTTACTTTTGAAGTATAATTCTGAAGTACAACTGGGTGCTTAAAACCCTTGCCTCAACAAACACGGGCTTTATTTTTGCATTTATTTACAAAGTGCAGGGTAGACATACAGACAGCAGGGGACTGACATGCAGCAAAAATATGGCCAACCTGAAGTCAAAGTGGATTCAGTGACTAACCCATTTCAGCCCAAGTATCCTCTCTGTAACTATTGCTCCTTAACACTGTATTTACACTGCCAGAGGTGGGTGATGCTTTTTGTGGACACATGTATAAAAAATATCATTATTACTTTGGCTTTTGCTGTTCAGTATTCCCCAAATTATTTAAATCCTCTCAGAATTTATCATTAAGATCAATATTTAATTTTAGGCAGCAGGCGATGGTTACAGGAGAGATATTTTTTTGACAGAATTTCTATAGTTGGCACAGGCGTTTAATTAATAAGCCTGAAATTTTAAATGATAAAAAAAATCAAGAAAGTGATTAGAATGAAAGCAGTTTATAGTCAATTTAAAAAATGTAATTGCCAATTAATTTATAGTGCACCTTTTTTCATTTCTGGTTTCAGGGTATTTCCAACTAATTGATGATTACATCACAGAGACACAGATGTTACACTATTGTTTCCACAAAGAGAGCTACACAGGACTCTGACCATTAGAGCAAGATTATAATAACTTGCCAGACTCTGACACCATCACTGCACAGTATGCACATGCATGTATGGGTCAGTGTGCATGTAGATGTCTTACCTAGTCGTGGATCGTATTGTCTCATCTGCACTTCTTCCACACAGTCTGCTGGGAACCATCCTGTCCTCCCTTTGACTGTGCCTTCCCAGAAACCTCCTTCCCCAATGCTGAGCACTGACAAAGAGAGAGAGTATGGGGACATTTCATTAAATGAGCCTTAGCTGTCATCATTGTGAGGTTGTGGAGTCTTGGGAAAGGGAACAAAAAGGACAAAGGGCCACATAACCAACTGGGTATTTAGTTTTTTTGTGTTCTTTCTTCATAAATTACACAATGAAGTGTGCACACAGGGAATGGGAAGAAAGGACAGGAGTGAAAGACTTTGTTTCACAAACACACACCGACACGAAGTCCACTGACACAAAGAGAAGAAATTGGGAAGCAGAAATACTGGTCTGTAACTTATGTACCACACCAAGGGCAACATATTTTCATTCCCCCTCATACCAGTAACTAAGTAGAGGGACAAACTGATATTTTAAAACAGAGGAAAGGAATGATAAAAAAGAAGTGGGAGTTAATAAAAGGCGAAAAAAAAAGGACCAAGTAGAGGTTGTGAAAGAGAACAAGAGGGCGGGAAGGAAAAAGAAAGAGATCCCTTCTAAGTTCTGCTGTGGTAATTAGAGATGAATGTATAGTTGATATTGATCTTCCCTGCAGGACTGAGCCAGCACACTCATTTCTACAACACTCATCCATTATCCCAGCAAGCCAACAGACACACACACGGACACAAACACACGCACACACGCTCCTCAGAGATCACCAGGTGGAACTGAAGCTTTGCCTGAGTGAGCCCTTCTTCTAAACTGGTTGCTAGGATACGCCAGTGTGATGTTGCAGCCAGCAGACAGTTTGCTAAATGATGTAGTCTGCTTCCTCCAACTATATTCCACTCTGGCATGGGGACATGTCATGGTGGTGTAACCTGGGGCACTTTGAGAAGCAGCCAGCTGGACTGAAATGATAGTAAATGTTCAAATATCAGTCATTCACAGGATTCCTTTCTGTATCTTGCAAAAAAACCCCAAACAAACAAAAAAAACACATTTTCTCAATGACTTATTTGACTTACTAGGCCTAGATCTACAGAAATCCCCCACTGACCCCCAACCCCCAGTTTATTTATTTTTTTACTATATGTTCAGAGGCACATGGGCTGCAGCAGACCAGAGTGGAAAACTGTGCTTCAGTACACTGTTTGATGTTTAAACCAACCCTGTTAAATTAAACTTTTTGTTTTAATTTTAAAGCAGACTTTCTCGAATGTTGTTATTTTCTCCTCTAGGAAAGGTAAAGTTTAGTTAACTAGATAATGTATTAGTTTTCATAATACTATTGGGCTCCAAGGTGTGGTGGAGCCTATCCTGTGTGTGTGATAGAGCATGAAGCATGGTACACCCTGGGCAGGTCACCAGTCTATCACAGATTAGAGCCCGGCATTAGAAAAGTCATTAAAGGAAATGCTCTGAAATCTTTGAAACTTTCAGAGCATTTACATTAAATGTGTTCATGTAAATGGGGAGTCTTCTATACATGTGAGTTCCACAGGGTTCAGGCAGTGTAAAACTGTATATATTTTGACTGCTACGCAGATGATACTCAGCTATATCTATCTATGAAGAAGGATGACAAAGCAATTTGTTCAACTATGTGCATGACTCAAAGATATAAAGGCCTGGGTGTTCCATAATTTTCTTCTCTCAAATTCAGACAAAACCAAGTTTTTTTCCTAAAAAAATCTTAGAAAGGATATTCTTATTTTGGATGACATTACCTTGGCCTCCAGTAATACTGTTAGTAGAGAACACTGAGCACCTATTCTCTACTCACGTCCCACGTGCTACCACTGCAGCATGCCATTAAATTTTTCTCTTTGTTAGTCTGTCTTTTGTCCTGTCTCCCTATACTCTCCTTTCTCCCCACCACCCAAATGGTCAAGGCAGATGACTGAACCTCACTGAGCCTGGTTCTGCTGGAGGTTTCTTCCTGTTAAAAGGGAGATTTTCCTTCCTACCATCTCAAGACGGTTGCTCTAAGGGGTCATTAGATTGCTGGGGTTTTCTCAAGAATATTGTAAGTCTTTACCTTTGAGTATAAGGCACTCTGGGGCAACAGTTGCTATGATTTGGTGTTATATAAATAAACCTACATTCAAAAGCAGAATTGAACTGAACCGAACTGAAATGTCGAAACCCAGGAGGCGACAGTGCTAATCACAATACCACTGTGCTGCTCTTAGTTTGCATAATAATATTATGATGATGGTATGGTTATCCCATATTTTTGTAAAAAATCTGCCTCTTCACTTGTATACACATGTAACCCCTCTAAAAGCTGCTTCTTTCAGGCTCAACATTCACTTACTCACTAGACGAAAGCGATGTGGAGGAGGAAGGAACAGCTGTTTATTGACTCCCCACTCCCTGCTGTAAAAAACATGACACTCAGCACACAGAGGATGCGTGGACTGATCCCCCTCTCTGATCTCAGCTTAACACAACTTTACCCCACCTGTCTCCTGAGAACAGACTTACTCTGTCTCCTTTTTCCATGCTCAAACCCTTTATTCTCTCTCTACTATACGAGTCTTTCGTTCTCCGAGCTTCTGAATCATTTCCCAGCTATCACCTCCATCCACCCTTTTGTCTCTGACAATGTGCCTGCCTATACTGTAATCATGTCGCTGCAATAGACAGGTGCTGGCTGTGCTTTCTGTTCCCCAATGACAGAAATGAAAGAAAAGGTGAGACCTCTGATTGATCTTTGAGGCCGCCCTCACTTAATTCCCTCACTCTCTTATACCACACTACTAATCTATTTCTGGTCAGAACACAGACTGAATCGACCAGTCTGAGACTATAAGAAAAATTCACTGTTTTTATATATTTATATATATATATATATATATATATATATATATATATATATATATACTGCATGTTTGCCAGTGTACAGTGGGGCAAAAAAGTATTTAGTCAGCCACCGATTGTGCAAGTTCCCCCACTTAAAATGATGACAGAGGTCAGTAATTTGCACCAGAGGTACACTTCAACTGTGAGAGACAGAATGTGAAAGAAAAAAATCCATGAATCCACATGGTAGGATTTGTAAAGAATTTATTCATAAATTAGGGTGGAAAATAAGTATTTGGTCACCTCAAACAAGGAAAATCTCTGGCTCTCACAGACCTGTAACGTCTTCTGTAAGACGCTTTTCTGTCCCCCACTCGTTACCTGTATGAATGGCACCTGTTTGAACTCATCATCTGTATAAAAGACACCTGTCCACAGCCTCAAACAGTCAGACTCCAAACTCCGCCATGGCCAAGACCAAAGAGCTTTCGAAGGACACCAGGAAAAGTATTGTAGACCTGCACCAGACTGGGAAGAGTGAATCTACAATAGGCAAGCAGCTTGGTGTGAAAAAATCAACTGTGGAAGCAATCATCTGAAAATGGAAGACATACAAGACCACTGATAATCTCCCTCCATCTGGGGCTCCACGCAAGATCTCATCCCGTGGGGTCAAAATGATCATGAGAACGGTGAGCAAAGATCCCAGAACCACACGGGGGGACCTGGTGAATGACCTGCAGAGAGCTGGGACCAAAGTAACAAAGGTCACCATCAGTAACACACTACAACGGCAGGGAATCAAATCCCGCAGTGCCAGACGTGTTCCGCTGCTGAAGCCAGTGCATGTCCAGGCCCGTCTGAAGTTTGCCAGAGAGCACATGGATGATACAGCAGAGGATTGGGAGAATGTCATGTGGTCAGATGAAACCAAAGTAGAACTTTTTGGTATAAACTCAACTCGTCGTGTTTGGAGGAAGAAGAATACTGAGTTGCATCCCAAGAACACCATACCTACTGTGAAGCATGGGGGTGGAAACATCATGCTATGGGGCTGTTTTTCTGCCAAGGGGACAGGACGACTGATCCGTGTTAAGGACAGAATGAATGGGGCCATGTATTGTGAGATTTTGAGCCAAAACCTCCTTCCATCAGTGAGAACTTTGAAGATGAAACGAGGCTGGGTCTTCCAACATGACAATGATCCAAAACACACCGCCCGGGCAACAAAGGAGTGGCTCCGTAAGAAGCATTTGAAAGTCCTGGAGTGGCCTAGCCAGTCTCCAGACCTCAACCCCATAGAAAATCTGTGGCGGGAGTTGAAAGTCCGTGTTGCTCGGCGACAGCCCCAAAACATCACTGCTCTCGAGAAGATCTGCATGGAGGAATGGGCCAAAATACCAGCTACTGTGTGTGCAAACCTGGTAAAGACCTATAGTAAACGTTTGACCTCTGTTATTGCCAACAAAGGTTATGTTACAAAGTATTGAGTTGTATTTTTGTTATTGACCAAATACTTATTTTCCACCCTGATTTATGAATAAATTCTTTACAAATCCTACCATGTGGATTCATGGATTTTTTTTTTCACATTCTGTCTCTCACAGTTGAAGTGTACCTCTGGTGCAAATTACTGACCTCTGTCATCATTTTAAGTGGGGGAACTTGCACAATCGGTGGCTGACTAAATACTTTTTTGCCCCACTGTATATGCAATCATCTTTCTTTGCTGAACTTTAATCACGCCCCAGCCACTATGAAATCTGAAATCAATCCAACTGATTGCTTGTAAGTGAAATAAAGAAAGATTAGTGACAAAAATGTGTGCACAAGCATAGATGTAATTAAATGCATGCCATGCTTGCTAATTTGTTTAAATAGAGAGGATAAAAAAATTGTTTTAAACAAAATCTCATTAACTCTCTAGCACCTTTAATAATAAAAGCTATAGCTATTATATTTATATAGCTAGTGCTAGTAATATTTGGCAATTAAAGTGTTAAATGGTACCATGCTTTTAACAGAACTAGTACTACAGATATCACGGTTACTGGATTTTGTTTACATGGGGCACAAAAAACGTGTGTGTGTACTACGTTACAAACACCAAAACAAAAGTGCATGCGAGCACATGCTCTGGTATAACATCCAGAGCTCTCTGCTGTGTGAGTTCCCTCCACCTTTCACTGCCACTACATTTTGTCACTTGTAAAAGCTGTAATGACAGCTGTCCCTGTGATCCAGATGTGGGCACACAGA